TATCAAATTAAATCATATATCATAAGTAAAGCAGTGATATATCAGATTACATTCTGTTGTTTGGCTCTTCTGGCTTCTTCTTACATTGTCAATTATTATTACTCCCATGGTGTTTCTTTTTAGCATACAGTCAGTTTATGCACTATTGATGGCAGGCAACATCAGAGAAAAATTATAAGATAGCAGGTGTGAATCAGCAGGCAAATGCCCTGCAAAGAAATTTTATTTTAACATGTTTAGCTGCAACATCATGAATGTAACTGCAATAGACAGCCTCAAATTTAAAATGTAAACATTTTAATATCTGGTATCAGTATTTTTGTTTTGCCAATGTTATTAAAGTGCATATAGACAGAAATATTTCACTGTCTGTGCTGTTTCATACCTCACCTGTGATTCTGCACAACCCAAAGACACAGAAGATGCTAGACTCACTAAGATTGCCATCTTCTGAAATGAAATCCAGAGTATGATGGATCTGTCTATGCCTAATATTCACATTTAAAAAACATTTAGTCATGTTGGTTTCACCTCAATTTAAAAGACAGAAAAAGCCCTCAATCTCCTCACAACAGAGGAACACTTAAAAACATACCTTTGAAGTATCCCACGTGTCAGTTCTTGGGTAAGAGGAAAGCAGCATTCAACAGCACCAGAAAGGTAATCCATGCCCACTGCCAACTTTTGCTCTGGAAGCACAGCCCCCATACTTCTATCCAATGTGGAGCTCTGGCTGGACAGTCTCCGGACAACCGAATGGAGAAGTTCCAAACTTTGAATGGGAGAGGTCTAGTCCTCAATGTTCATTTTCCCCAGAAAAGGTAGCATTTTCCAAATGGAAGAGGAAGACACCACACTAAACTTAATTTTAAACAAGGCTAGGTTAAGGATGTCAAAACCTGTTAAAAATAATACACCCATTGGAACTTTAATAAGGTTCCCAACAACTCCATTTCAGTATTTATGGTCTCAAAATACCTCTCCAGCTGGTATATATATATACACTTTGCTCTAAGTACTATTAAACACGTTCTTGTTAAGATAATTGATTGATCATACCAAACTTAGAGATAAGTGAATTTATGACAAATGCTGCAGAGAGAATTGGAATAAGTATATAAACTGTCATTTATCCAAAAATATGAAATAATTAAAAACATATACAATTTTAGTAATTCAATACTCAACCTTAAGCAATATATTGCACATTTGAGGTAAGAATTTATTCCTTTATCCTGTCTCCAGTATCTACATGTGAATGGCCTACATTTAAAGACAAAAAGGAACCAAGAACACCAACCTGCTAAATAAAATACTAGTCTTTTAAAGGAACTAATGCCATCTCCTAAAGAAAGAATGCCCTCTACTGCTTGGTTAGAGAGCTGCTCCGTAGTAAAAGAAACAACGGCTCAAAACCAAGTTTCATATGGATTGAAACCTTTGAAAAAGAGCTATAACAACAACCAGTAGTAATAGTAACAGTAACAGTAGTAGTAGTAGTAGTAGTAGTAGTAGTAGTAGTAGCAGTAGTAGTAGTAGTAGTAATTATTATTGTTATTGTTGTTGTTTGTTATTGTTGTTGTTTATTTTTGTTATTGCTATTATTATTCCTCTGAAATGTTAGATGTGAAATGCGTGTATAAAATCAAATGTTCCTGAAAAGCAGCATTTCTATCTGATCTACTGCTCATTTTTTGTTATACACCTGCATAACATAGCCCCAAACATCTCACTCAAAATATATAAAATCATGAAGAATATTTTCTCCATAATACTCTAGTGCATAAATTTTAAAGTAGCTAATGTTGTTACTTTCAGTAATTGTTTTGGCATGCATTTTCCTTAAACTTCATATATTTGATGCCTGTTCTTAAACTTAATACACCCCACCTTATTAGTGTATACAACCTCCTTTAGAGACGTGTATATTGTTTGTCTTCAGTGGTTTGCCTTTGAAAAACAACCGGCTGAAATTCTTACATCTCTAGAAGTCACATTCACAGCATGCAATTTTGCAGCATGCTACCACACAGAAGTGCTCTAAAGCGTCGTCAAGAAACAGCAGAGACATGCATGCTGATTTATTTTACATCAGCAGAGAAGAGACTCATGAATGCTATTCTAGAAAAGTTTCTTCAGACCTGATTCTGTTTAATATCAAATTTGTTCCCAAGGAAACCCTGCATTTTCTTAAAATAAAAGACAATTTTCTGAAGTGGGCCTTAAACAGTCACCAGTTAGTACCTCCAACAGCAGATACTCATCTTTTTACTGCCATTTTACTCCTCACTTATTTGGCTGTCCAAGTAAGTAGAGAGAGAATCTAGGGATCTTCACAGCAGGCTCACTTTGGTTTCTCTAATAAGGGCTTTTTTAGTTGCACAACACCTAAAAATGTAAACTAAGAGACAGTTTAGCTCAAACTTGAAGACTATTTAAAAGCACACGAACAATGAATTTCTGGAATACACAATCCTTTCTGTTTTGTTCTTGACAGTAATTAACATGGTCCATTCTCATGGCATGAGCTCCTAAGCACTGTGAGAATGAAAAAAAGTTAATGTTAAAAAAACAAAAAGGGTTTGTACCCCCAGCAAATGTATTGAAAACTAAAGCTTTATCTCTCCTGGTCTCGGATGTGGAAAAGCAAACAGATTTGTGACCTTGAAATAATTCTTTTTCTGCCAAATTAATTTGAATTTTCCTTCTTTCACACTAGCAGTATCTGGAGAACAACATGACCTGGAAGGAAGATACTATATTCTCAACTGGAGAAATGTAGAGGAAGTCAGATTTAAGACCAGACTGTTAAATCAGGTAATTCTACCTTAGCTGAGAGACACCGACAACACGTACTGTAAGAGAAAATATGAGAAAAAGAATTTCACATCAGATATGGCATGACCCAGCATTCTCCAAGCACTTTCAGGTCTCTACCAATTTCTTTTCTAGGAAAAGAAATTATGTTTTAACAATTCAAAAATATAACAGAAACTTTTGTATTTATAGAAAGAATAGCAGGCATGTATAACTTATACACAGAACTTCATTCCATTCAATTGAAAAAAACCAGAAAAGCCCACAGTTTTATACTAAACACAGAGAGAACCTCAAAAAAGGACAACCTATTTAGAGTGATCTCAGGAATTTCCCAGTCTCCATATTTAGAAAATTACTTTATTTTGAGAAGGCAGGAATTACTAACTACCTTGCATCCATGTGTTGACCAGTGTTGTTTTAGTGCATGTATAAAAGGACCAACACTTGATTTTGGACTTATTCTACATTATTCTTAATCTTTAACAAGCAATGGCATGTGGAGCTACCACCAGGGGTATTCATTGATGTTCATACATATTTTTCGTAATTGTTCTTACGTTCTAGCCATGAATTGACCTGACAATTTCAAGGAAACACTTCCCTGAGCTGGCATAGCAGAAACAATCACAGTAAGAATGACTACAGAGTGTACAAAATTTTTTTGTTATTCTTCAGCTTTTCCCATTATACTCACAAATGGATAAATGTTTGAGATAGCCTTCATAGTAATAATAGTGAACATGCCGTGGTTTGCAACTTTACAGAATAAGAAACACTCCCAATATTTTACAAATCTAATAACAAGTTGCATTTTTACCTTTATGTGAGGAAAAACTGAATCTTCAATTTTCATCAGAAATAAATAAAAATCTTATAAAAATACTGTCCCAGATAAAACACAGCATCTCCCAAATAGAATACAGTATCAAATACCTTTTGCTTTGCAATAATATATACAAACTCTGCGTGCATTTCCCCACAAATACTATCCATTACCTACCAACATATGTATGTGTGTGTATATATGCATACCAATATATTTATGGATGGATGGATAGATGGATGGATGGATGGATGGATGATTTTTCCACTTTGAGAGCCAAGGATTTAGAGGTACATTGATGTAGCATGGAAATTTAAAACAAGAATAAAGATTTAAAATCAGATTCACTGTTACCAGGACCAAATCTACAGGAATAATGATTGCTATCCAACCTCTGTTTCCTCTGCTGGATGTATCAAAGATATCAGTTGCTCCAGAAAGGACTGTAACTCAAAATAGTCAGGCACGTTTGACAAACAAGAATTTTTTGTCCTCATACAAAATAATGGATCATTGAAAACATTTTTCCTTAAATTAGAAAAAATATTTTTATTACAGAAATTTTTTTAACTATGTTTTTATTTAAAGTTTATTTTTAAGCACATCCTCCAGTACAAATGAATTGCCCCATTTCCACAAAAATCATGTCAGCGGTAATGATAAGCTAATTTCTCTTAAAGCTACCTCCAACAGAACCTCAAAGGCAGTAAGAGTGATTTAAGGTAATGAAATACACATTAATATGATCCATAACAGTGGAAGATCCCTACTATAAAAGAGAAGTTATTTTTTCTGAAATCATTCAGATATGAAAGGCTCTTTATTGAATTCTTTAGGAGCAGAACTACAATTCAACAAAAAAAAAATAGGAGAAGACTGACAGTGAAACTAATCAGCAGTATAATGGAAGTGACATAAAAAGGTATTTCATCCTTGTACATTTTGCTATCCTGTCTTATGAAAGGGGGCATAACAAACATCTCCAAATATCTGAAGGCCATAAACTCCAAAATTAAAATAATTACTTAGCATTACACATAGAGTATAATTAAGAATAGTGGGATTACTGTAAACAAAGTGGGAAAATCTTCTTGACCATGAAATTTGTGCAAAATTGAAACAGTTTCCTTAACAGGGAGATCTGTTGCTCAAGTATTTTAAATTAAAATGCAGAGAGCACATGAAAATGCCCTATAGGGAGTACTTTGCATTGCTTTGGCAATAAACCTAGTATGTCTTTTGGCTATAATTTGTATGATTCCTTGGGTTTGGATATAAAACACATGGGAACTCAAGTCAAGAGTTCATGTAACTATTGTTTTTGCTTGAGCTGAGTACCATATGGTGCAATATACAC